GTTAATTAACGGCATACGGTTTTGTTCAACAGGAATCGGGAGATGTTTTGTTCATATCATAGGGATTAAAGTCTTGCGGAAAAAGAAGCCGGGAACTTGATCGAAGCTGATATCTGCAAGAAAAAAACCAGCAATTTTAATTTTGCTATAACTGTAACTTGTAACCTAAAAATCCTTAGAAATACCATACAAATAAATATCCTCTTGCAATAAATTGTTAACTATTTATGYGAGTGGTTTAGTTGGTGTTGATTCACTACTGTTGGCATGAGTTTAATAGCGTTTTCCAAGGATGACGTGACAATTGTGCATCATGCCCAGCGCATGCGCACATGCTAACAGCCCTAATATACAACTAATCTTGTTTTCAATTCATGGAAGAACTAYGGTTTTTCGACTGACATTCTTCTTTTCCATGTAATCGAAGCCGTGTATCCATGCACAAGTATGTCTCAGTAGCATGTTGTTTTACTCACAAGCTCTTTAATACGGTGTTACCTGAATTTTGCTCGTGTTGTCGCTTTTATCCGTGTGTATTTCCAGTCAGCAAAGCCAAAATTGCGCAATAGTACCCATTAGTCTTCGCGGCATTACCCTGGAGGCCATTGAGAGTATAATCTGATCTGCTAAGGTGTGACAAAGTTGCCTGTTGGCAAACCAGTGTTAAAATTTGTCGCTTTTATCCGTGTGTTTTTCTACCCAGCAAATGCCAAATTTGCGCAGTAGTACTCATTCAGTAGTCTTCACGGCATTGCCCTTGAGGCCATTGTGRGCATATGATACATGGGATTCTAATCTGTTTACGTTATGTCAGTTGTCGCGCAGAAATGATTGACTGGGGGCGGGGCTGCGTATCACATGCCGCAAATTGATGTCTACATACGCATCTTAGTTTTTTTTTGGCTGTGGAAATTCAAGGCTCATTAAATGATTGGAGATTTAGAAACTAATATCGGGTATATATAAAAGGAAAATGTATAAAATGTCCAAACATTARTATAATGTTGTGAAAGKATCACTTTTATTCGTTCAATTCTGTTCAAATTTTGATTTAGCTGCTCAAAGCAGTATTCTTTGCTGCATGGAAGGATAATACAATGTTAAATCTTTCTACATCAAACTTTCAATCAGATAAATGATAGAATTACTTTCAACCTACGAGTTCAACAGTTTCAACTTTCAAGTTACGGTCTATTGATGCAGGAAGTTTGAAGAAAAAAACTTGGCACGTTTTGAAGAGAATCATGGGTAAAGTGGGAATTTTAGGAAAACTCTCATTTTAAAGTCTCCAACGACCTTCATTTAGCAAATAAACCTCTTCCCCCCCTTAAAGATTTGACGCTGATTTTTCTTGCGAATTATGATAATTACTTGAAAACAAGAGAATATGAAAATCTTCACGGCAAAATTAAATGGTCCTTATTCGTTGTGTGACAATGTTTTTCCCAATTCAGCGTGACAAACCTCCAGAGGATTCATTTTTCTTTTTATGTTTTTACTGTTTGAATATTCGCGTGAGTATCCCAAAGGATACAAAAAGGAATAACGATGATATCCCGACGAGTTTCAAAACGATAAGCCATACCACGAATAAGGTCGATTGTATCAAAAACTCAAGGGAAACCTTTGAATTATTCCTTTACATCACAATGCTTTATAAGGAATGAAGGAAGGAAGGAAGGGAGGAAGGGAGGGAGGGAGGGAGGGAGGAAGGAAGGAAGGAAGGAACAACAGTAAAAGTTTATCTCTGTTCGGCGAACGTTTGGTGGTCGACAGAAGAAAGTTGTGTCTATAGATGTCAGGCAGGGGGGTGGGGTGTTTAAAAAAATACTAGATGCAAGGTAGTCGAAAGTACAGTGTAATTCTGGTTTTGATGTCTTTTTAATAGTTGTGAACATAGACATGTTCTTTTGAGTAAACCAAGCAGCTTGTTGGCTTTAGCTGTGATAGTGTGAATGTGAGTGTCCCAGGACTAGGTGATGCTTGAGACGATGACTCCAAGATCTTTTTTCTCTTGCGTTGGAAGATGTTCTTCTGTCCTAAGACAGTGCTCATAAGATGTTGGACTTTTTCTGCGTATCAAAGTCAAGGTTTTACATTTGGACACGTTARATTTGATGTTGTTGCTTCGAGTCCAAGAGTGAAGGTTTGTCAGTGCGTGTTGAAGGTCCTTGCAGTCGTTTTGAGATGTAATCTTCCGGAACAACTTTGTTTCGTCTGCATGTGCAAAGCAGCCGTATATCCCCGCTCTGTGATGACTTCATGGAAGCCATTAATAAAATCAAGAATCAAACTGTCTTTGGCAAATAGATCTCGTGACTACTACCCTGTGCTYTTTCTGTGTGCATTTTGTTGACTTACTTTCGTAATTACACAGATTCAACAAAGTAATTCTCTCGATTGAAGTACTCAAGCAATTTAAGTTATAAAATGAGTATCAACTAAATGTTGTATACGTTCAGTTTAGTTACTCCTTTCACAAAGGGTATAGTAGCTAGGCATATCCCGCTTTCCATTGTGGTCTCTTCTTTTCACTGCAACTTCTCGTCTTCTTYGTTCCTTTGTTTTCTTATAAACCCCTTTGGAGGAAAATCGGAGAAAAACCCTCGCCGCAAAAGGAAGAGAACAAGACAACAATCATTAAACACTCTTCACATGTGGCGTCCGCCAAAAGTCCAACGTATTACCGATGCACCACTTTAGCCTCACAAGATGGTTAGGTTAAGAGCCAAGCAACCGATCATGATCGTAGCAATTAATCTAATTGATGGTTTCAACCATTCCCAAGAGAATGAAATAACAAAAGATACGGCGGTCATGTTGGAGGATATAGCGAAATTGACAATTCTTTTGTTAAGTTCCTCCAATATGGCCACCGTGAAAAGGCATCAATGGGTTACTGGCCAGTAATATGCTAAAATGAGACGCACTTAGCTACAAGACAAAGCCGTGGAATTGCCTTAGTCAAGATCTTTTATTCAGTTTGCATTAATATTATTCTTTTGCAAAGCTTTCAAGACAAATTTTGTTATTGAGTCCATTTTTCTGCTTGCTAAACTGGTACTTCAAAAATTTTACTCATGTTTTATTGAAAGCTCATCTAAATCTTTTGTCTAGAAACTATGTTAATGCTTAGGAATATAATTATAGCAATAATATATCTGTTTGCCCTCTTGGCATCCCATAATTCAAGATGGCCGCCGTATCAGTAAAAGGTGCCGCACATTAGTTGGGCTTCCTGTGCCACCACTGGACATTACATCCCCCCATGACTGTTTTACCCCCGTCTCTAGACCATAATCCTTTTCACACTGCTTTTGTTCGTTAATTATGACTATTGTTCCYGTATTCTCTAAGGAATCAAAAATTTKAATATGAAAGAATTTTAAAAACTATTACGGTATAGAGTCAGGGGTAAAACGTCATCTCGCTTCAGGCTTATTCTTTAGCGTTAAATGCTCTCAAAATTCAATAAAATATTCATGACTGTAGAAAGCAGTTCCCACAAACGTCTACATTATTTCAAAAAGCCCAAAAGGATGTTTATTTTAAGAGCGTTAATGGGGGAGGGGTAGGTCAGTGAGAGTCGGTGACGTATTAAAGTGCAACGTAGACTTTATCAACTGCGCATGCGTCTGTTATAAATCCAAGATGGACGCCAGTTTGAATCAGCTGAAGGTAGAACAAGCCTCGAAATATTCGATTCTCTTCTATTTATTCGCAGTTAACTCACTCTTTTTTGCAGGCGCAGATCAATAAGAGTCTGGGTGATGCCTCAGTGGTAGTCAAAGCGTCGTGTCTATTGGTTTGTTTGCTGTATTTGCTGACGTTTATTCCGTCCTTTTGGTCAGCTTTGGCAGTGTGTCCTGGTTTGTAAGTACTCTTTCTTTCTCGTTTCTTTTGTTCCATTTCTTAATTTTGAARTGTTGGGCTCAAAAATTAATATTTTATACCAATATATCATATAGGTGGTAGTGCGTTGAACCTTGCTTTTGGAATTATCAACATATTTATTGGTCATGACATTCGCAAATATTAACCCTATCCTATCTCATCTTTACTTCACCAACATTACATTAAAAACATTCTTTTTAAGATACTTTTTCAAAAAAAATATTTAAGGAAGGTCTCTGGATAAGATTTACAGCTTATTTTAACTTGATTTTAAGCTTACTTGTTAATTTGTTAATCCGCTGCTCCAAAGCTATGGAACAATCTTCCATCTTATCTCAAACAAACCACTAACTTTGAAGTATTTAAATCTGGACTAAAGACTTTTCTTTTCCGCAAAGCCTACGAATTATGACTCTTACAAGTTTTAGTAAATTTTACRATCATTTTATTTCTCATTCTGTAAACGCATAGAGATTCTTTGCTAATGCATCCTAAGAATGTTATGTTATTTTTATTAATTTATATTATATCTAACCAATGAAAGTAATTCTTCGTTTGCAGTAGACGTCATAGCCGCCATGTTGGAAGAATTTGACAAAAGATTTTTCAGTGAATTCTTTTGTTATATCTTCCAACATGGTGGACATCCCTTTTGTTATTGTGCTCTCTTGGGATTGATTGCAAACCAAGAATATTTTATCTTTTTTCCCTTTAGTTTAATTCCACCAAATTTTAGAATATGGTCCCTCATTACTGGAGGATTCCTGGAGTATAGAATTTGGAATGTAAGTGGCATTTGTTAGAATAATGACAGATAGTGTGGATGGATGGGGGGGGTTTGGAGGGACTAATTTTTCATTTTAAGCCCTCAACTTTTAGTCTTACCATTCTTTTCACCGCTACGAGTTGATCAAGACAACAGTCGCAACAGGGAARTAGGGCAATACACTGTCAACAATCAGAGAATAAAAAGGTACCCACCAATTTCTTTGATTGACAAAAGTGTTGGGACTGATGTCTTTATGAGCAAGTAGCAATAAGAAGAGTGGTAATCTAAGCCCTCCCTCAATACACTTGTTTATTCTTTGGTCCTTGAAGATTTTACCCTGCTAACACTAGCCCTCCCACTTTTGTCAATAAACTAACTACTCAAAACCATTACTAGAGTGCACGCACTAAAACCGTGAACATTAAATAGCACTAATTAGTACTATTTCATACAGAATCCTTTGTTTTCTATTGTTTAATTATCACTATTTAGTGCTAAAAATTAGTATTTGTTTCACAGATTTAGTGTGAGCACTCTACTTGTACAATTATATAAAAAGAGCTCTTTGTGAGGTTTTTCTGAAGTTTTGAAGGCCAGCCATTAACCTGGTGTTTGTATTTATTTTTCCAGGTTGCAATAGATGTACTTGTATTGGTGTTATGTGGCAAATTTATCGAACCGCTGTGGGGTGCCCTGGAGTTTCTAGTAAGTTGACAGTCTTCTATTATACTAGTTTTCTTGTGCACTTATTATACTATTATTTTACCTATGGGCTTTCATTGTTAACAGTTCTAAATTTTCTAGGCAAACTGTGTGCTAACCATGTTGAAATTTAATTTTTGAATGTTGCACTTTTGCAAGAACGTTGTTTTACGATATTAGAACATTAGTAATTTAGTGAGAAAGGAATACATTAAAAGACAAAAGAAAAAGTTCAGCTTCAGTGATCGTCTTTTGTTTTTTAATATAATTCCTATCCCACTAAATCACTAATGTTCTATTTTCGTATGACAACGTTCTTGCAAATAGGTCTATTATATTTTGAACTTTTTTTCCTTAGAAATTTGTAATCATTCTTGATGTTGGTACATCTCTGGTTACAACTCTCTTGTGTTTGTTTATCTACCTGGGAACATTCAACACACATATTTGGTAAGAAAAAATTAGGCCATTTGTATAAAATAGCTGTAATAATAAACCTCTTGTTGTGATTGGCTAGGATTGATTGGCTGGTACTACAACTACCACCATCCTTTGCACACTGCAAAGCATACAGTGCACACAGCTTTTGCACTCACTTATTATTTAGTATTTAGTATAATGGTGAATACTACAACTACCACCATCCTTTGCACACTGCAAAGCATACACTGCACACAGCTTGTGTGCACACTTTGTATTCAGTATTTGGTATATTAGTGAATACTACAACTACCACCATCCTTTGCACACTTGTTTGTCATTTGTTTGCATCAAGTGTGCTATTGAATTGGAAGTAATATATCAAGCACGGAAAAGAGTATTTCATCTGATTTCCAAACACTGAGAAGTGAGTTGAAAAACACAAGATAAGCCAAGTTTTTTTTAACCAATATCGAGGTGTTTGGATGCAGGATGAAATACTCTTTCAAGTGCTTGATATGGCTTCTTGAACTATTAATGATTCTTTGAGAAATTCAAAGCATAAGTTGCCCAAATGTTATGCTAATTAAGATCACATTCCCAAACCTCTTTCACGCTAGGGATTTTCTTTGTTCATGTGTTACTTACAGTGCAATGCACAAAAATACCAATGTATTCAAATACTTTTACGCACTGGCTCTACGCTTCCAAACAAGCTTCTGCACCACTCATTTGGTAAAACCTGCTAGCTTTGCATCAAAATGTACAGGTTTAATGTACAAAAGCCTGTGCATAGAAGTGTACATGTACAAATACATTAAACATGCCTTGGCTTTGCATTGTAATACTGTAATAAGAGATGATATAGTAATAATGGTAATAATAATAATAATAATAATAATAATGATAATAATAAAGTCTTTATTACATTTGATGAAATAAACATCAAATTTACAAATACATAATACAGTATTAATAAATATGATATAAAAATAAATAAACTTAGTATTATAAAACGACACTAGAGTGCTCACACTAAATCCGTGAAACAAATACTAATTTTTAGCACTAAATCTAGTGATAATTAAACAATAGAAAGCAAAGGATTCTGTATGAAATAGTACTAATTAGTACTATTTAATGTTCACGGTTTTAGTGTGTGCACTCTAAGCTAAATTAAAGCTAAATTATAATTAAAAATCAATCTATTACTAAAAGAATTTTTAAAACGTTCTGTAAAGATCTTTGGTCTTGGACAAGAGATATTTCTAAGACTGTAATGAGTATTCTTGGACTTAGGAATTATTGAGGCCAAAGGGTGAATATGTTTACTAATTATTGATATGTTTACTCTCGTTTTATTTACCTAAAGGTTTCTCCAGTTCAGTGGCATGACAGGTATCATCTCTGGTCTTGTAGTTGCCTTCAAACAGATTAAACCTGACGAAAACTTATACAATGGATTGGTTAATGTAAGAATCAAGGTAATCACTCATTGTCAAACTGTTTAAAGTACCCATCATCTGTCATGATGGCATTGGCTTTGAGCATTGCAAAAACCAYTGATAAGGCTAATAGTATCACCAGGGGTGAATCCAGGAAATCTCTAGGGGGGTAACCCATATTAATAAATATATATAGAGATATTATGCATTGTAAATTTTTCTTTTGCTTCAAAAAAGCTAAGTGTAATATTATCATGGCGCTAGGGGATGTACGGTTCACCACTAGTAGTATCACCAGGGGCGAATCCATGAAATCGCTAGGGGGGATGTGAGGGAGACTAGGGGGGTGTCCCATATTAATAAATGTATATAGAGATATTATGCATTGTAAATGTTTCTTTTGCTTCAAAAAAGCTAAGAGTAATGTTATTATGGCGCTAGGGGGGTGTACAGTTCACCACTACTAGTATCGCCAGGGGCGAATCCAGGAATTTGCTAGGGGGTGTCCCAAATTATTAAATGTATATAGAGATATTATGTACGTAAATGTTTGTTTTGCTTCCAAAAAAGCTAAGAGTAATATTATTATAGCACTAGGGGGGTGGACAGTTCACTGCAGGACACCTCTCTGGATCCTCCCCCAGTGGCAGATCCAGGGGTGGTTCCTTGGGTTCCATGGAACCCACTTTTGTGAGATCTTGGGAAGTCAATCATGTTCTTTCAAAGTGTTTGCATTGGTAAAGTAGTGCATTCCTTACTTTACCGTTGATATTTGTGAATATTTAAACACTGATATGAGGTTGACCCTGAGAAAATATGTCTGTAATCAAGGAAAACAACAGTAATTTGGAACTCAAAAATGGTTTATTGTTTTTGCAGCAAATACCAGGTATTGTTGTACTGTCTTACACAATATTGTGCTTGGTTGGTATTCTGCCTGTTATTCAGTTGGCTTTAGTTGTGTCTGGGATTCTGATAGCTTGGGTGTATCTTCGATTCTACCAGCCAAGAGCAAGAGGGTCAAGGGGAGACCTAAGTGAAGACTTTTCTTGTGCATCTTTCTTTCCAGAACAAATCCAGTAAGTCTAGTATAGCCAGGGCACAAAATTAATGCTCGCAAACTTGCAAAATGCAGGTGGAATTTTGTATTTAGTGTGGGGCAAAACATTTAACTAGCTAAGTTTTTCGAGTATGACCACAGTCCAGAAATTGAAGGAGAAGCTGCATCAAATAAAATAATCGCAAGTGACTTTGAAATTTTTGCTAATGAGAACAAAACTTACTAGCAAGGTTTTGCTAGTGGGTTTAAAAGTTAGTTTCGTTCCCTAATAGCTGGATTGTCCTATAGTATTGAGGATGACAGTGAAATTTACATGCCAGTGTTGCAAATTTATTATCAACACGTGTTTACATGATTCTTATTGGTCTTGTCTTCTCCTCGCTACAGACATCCCATCCGTACAGTATCCAATTYGATCTTTAACTTTATGGTCAAGATTGGAGCATGTGCAAAGCCTGTCAGAACATATGATGTTGGCGCTCCATCTGCTATCACCATAAGTCTACCTGGGATAGACCCTGCTGATGCAGAGAGAAGAAGGTTTGTATGGCATGTGCAAGGGACCACTGATCATTCACTAATGTAGGGAGAAGGGGCACGTGCCTCTAAATTTTTGGTAAATGTCAAAATTTAAATGAAAAAATAATAAAAAAATTGAATTTAAAAAAGAACCTGGGACCTGGCTTTTTTCCTTACTTTTTTATTCTGGGTGCCCCCCCCCCCCCCCCCCAATTCCTACTTGCTATGCTGCTGCCATTAATACTTGATTGGAAAGGTAGGACAGTGTTAAGGGGGTTGTAAAAATACATGATCAATATGGGAAGAGGGGCACGAGAACGGATGTAAAAGAGGGTAGTAATGCTTTAAAAAAAAAAATAGACAGTAAACTCTGTTGTGCCCTGTTGTTTTCCTAACTTCATGGGTAATTTTGAACATTTTGTTTTCTTTTGTTTTATCTGTGGGAGGGGGTGGGGCTTCTGTAAATTATGCACAATTTATGTTCCCCTGGTTTTACCATATGTGGTCTGATTTGCTTGAACCCTTACACCAAACATTGGGTTACAGTACCTTACCACAATAAGCATGCAAATGCATAAGAATAGGACGTTTGCATGATGGTGTCATTGACCTCTACTACCAGACTCCCTTGCACACTTTCTTTTGTTCAGTTAATTAGTACCAATTGTCTTACTATTCTCATGGAGGGAATACAAATTTGAATAAGAAAGAAAATTCGCGAAGCATCTTGGTAGTGGGAGTCAAATGACGCCATCATGCAAACATCCTATTGGTCAAATATTTGACATTCTTGCAATACATTTTGTTATAAATTACATACAAAATATTCATGAATCCCTTTTAATTTGTGTGTGTGTTGAGATCGTGTGGAGGAAGTAACATGCGACCTAGTGACCACCTATTCCTAATTTTCAAATACTTCTTTACAGACAAAGAGCATTAAAAGCCTTGAATGAAAGACTCCAAAAACTCGATCAGGCACAGGGCAGTTGGCCGTCAATGGAAGACCAAGGAGAAAAAGACGAAAATATACCATCTGAGGACACAACACTAGATGAAACACCCACAGTGGTCATAGACAAAGGCAATCCAACTAACCCTGAGGGACACAGAAGTACAGCCATCATAGAAACATAACTTACATTACTGTCTCTATACTTGTTTGTCYGTCTGTCCATGATAAGTCAGTCGGCCATGCCTTTGTTGGACATCGGCAAATTGTTATGGAAAAGAGTATTTATATCTGAACACTAGAATATACTCTCTCTTTCTATCTGTCTGTCCATGATAAGTCAGTCGGCCATGCCTTCATTGGACATCGGCAGATTGTTATGGAAAAGAGTATTTATATCTGAACGCTAGGATTAACTCTCTTTTTTTATCTGTCTGTCTGTCTATGATAAGTCAGTCGGCCATGCCTTCGTTGGACATCGGCAGATTGTTAAGGAAAAGAGTATTTATATCTGAACACCAGAATATACTCTCTCTTTCCATCTGTCTGTCTGTCTGTCCATGATAAGTTAGTCGGCCACCCTTCATTGGACATTGGCAGATTGTTAAGGAAAAGAGTATTTATATTCCCTACTGTGCACTAGAACACTAGGATGTAGCCTGCAAATACATGATAACGTCACAGTGGGACTTTAAGGAAAGTGAAAGAAATCGAAAAGGGACGTAATGGTAGAACATTTGGATGACACCAAGTAATCACATTGAGTATAACCAACTCAGACGACTCAAAAAGCTTTAATCCCAATACAGAAATCATCAACAAACGAACAGTAGCGCATTTGCCCTGGCTAGAGAAGAAGTCTAGTGATGACACACGTATAAAGAGAAGATACGTTCCCATGATTCCCTGCTCTCGGAGAGACTGCAAATAGCAAGCTATGGCTGAATTTAACACATTTAAGAAAAGTAATTATTCAAAGTTCTTGGAACACTTACAAGAAATTTGAGTTCAAAAACCTCTATTTAACGGCCACCCTTAGGCAATTATGAATTGGCCGATAAATAGAGGTTAGTCGCCTAATAGAGGTTAAAATAGTGCAAAAACCCYCTTTGGGAATTTGATAACTGGCTGTAAATAGCCTTACCACTTTATGTAAGACTACATGAAATGGCACTATTCCGTAATAACGTTTAAGGTTAGTTTTTTGGGGGGTTAGGGTTAGGTTTCACGACGTTATAATCAATAATAAATAATTAATAATCCAATAGTGCAATTTTATGTTGTCTTACATGAAGTACAAACAGTAGAAGTCAAACTTCCCACTTTAGAAACGAGTTGAGGACTGGGAACGAGTTTTTAGAATTAACCAGGTTAAATAAACACCCTACCAAGAAAGAGTACATCGAAATTGGTAAGTTCCTAGAGTTTCAAGCTTTTGGGTTCATACTTTTTATGTAGCAACCTCACAAACATCTCAAAAATTACAAAGAAATGTATGGTTACTGGGGACGCTTATCCCTACCAGACATACATTTCTCCTAGTTTCTGATGTTTTTGATTGCTTGTAATTTAGCTGTTACTTAGCCAATCGAAGCCAAACTGCAGAAATCTGTTAATTTTGATGTGCTCTTTCTCTTCGTGGAAATATATTTTGAATAAGATTAAGTATCAATACCTTCTATATACTCATTCCCAGTCCTTCACTCGTTTCTAAAGTGGTCAACTTTAAAAACAAGCAAAAGACTGGGGCGAGTTTTGAATTTGAATCTAATTATTAGCAAAAGAATTTCGTCATCTGATAAAGCAACTCAATATTAGTAAGTCTGTGAATTTGGAACATGATTGGTTAAAAAGAACCAGAGTTACAAGCCTTCAAAAGTCTGAAAAATTTAAAAGAATGTGAGGTTACAAGGAACAAGCGTCCCTTGTAACCATACGCCGCCACTCAGGGTCTTAAAATAACTGGTTTTTCTTTTGTAATAATATCTGCAAATGGTTAGACCTTCAAGTCTTCTTGGACAAGGACTTTAAACCGTAGGCCCTGTCTCCCAACCCTTCATAACCTACAGTAAATGGGGGACATAAAAGAACCACTGAGGACGTAAAAAGAAACTCTGGCAGTGACCACCCTCAGTGCCTACACTTCATACTAACCATCTCTCATGCTTGTAAATTGCTTAGGAGCGATCTGTCATTCACAACTCAATGTAAAGCGCCTTTGATTATATCCACATATAAAAGGGCGCTATATAAATCATAATCATTTTTTTCATTTCATACATTCTTCGTAAATCGTCAACACTTTTGAAAGGCAATAATACAGGTTCTTTTCATCCAATCATGTTCACATTTGCCAGACTAATGTTGAGATGGTTTCTCAAAATGACAAACGTTTTTTTCCTAATGAAATTAAGATTCAAAACTCGCCCCAGTCTCTTGCTCGTTTCTAAAGTGGCCAACTGTGTATCAGTAAAAGAGACTTGAAGATAAAGTGAAAAAAATCACGTCTTCAAACGTCGAGTTAAAATAAAAATTCGTCGAGTTAGTAATATGAAACTCGAACGAGAGATAGTGAATAAATAAATAAATAATGGGATTAACGGGGGATTCCACAGAGTGGCTCTTGTTACATTGGATTGCAATTGGAATTTAGAAGTTGATTATTTTACGGAGGGAGCAAAACCGGAGAATTCGGAAAACCCTCGAGGAGAGAAGAGAGAATCAACAAGCAACCCTACTCACACGACACCGAGAACTGTCTGCTTTCACTTAAACGGCGACTGTTGTTATCAGAGCACCACGGTACATGTATACATTGTTTTGGATTTTACCTGTACAAGTTTGATGCGATTTCTAAATGTTTGCGTATTCCAGCTCGATATTGCATTGTAAACGAAGAATATAACAATCAAGGTGATTTAAAATATATCCCCTGGAAGTTTTCTTATGGGTAGCGTGGGTAGCGTTGCTAACGCGTCTTTCACCACTGTGGTTCTAAYAAGCCTGAAGCGAGATGACGTTTTACCCCCGACTCTATACCATAATAGTTTTAAAAWTTATTTCATATTCAAATTTTTGATTCCTTAGAGAATACAGGAACAATAGTCATAATTAAAGAACAAAAGCAATGTGAAAAGGATTATGGTCTAGAGACGGGGGTAAAACGTCATCTCGCTTCAGGCTTATTAATGGTTCGGATAACTGGTTCAAGCCCTGCGGGCAAAATGTAAATAGGCCCTTCGCAGCTAAGCAATCACGTGCTGATTAATTCACTGAGAGCAAATGAATGAACATTTTGACATTTTTCTACAACCTGCTTTGAGAGATCGTAATAAAACTACATTTCGTAACACACTGGATACACATCTTTTCATTCAGTTCTTTACAAGTACCTAAAAAGAATCACCAATTTAATATAAAAACATAAATTTAGCCCTCCAGTACAGACACGTGACCGTTAACTGCAAAGGGCCTATTGAATTTGTTTGATGTGTTGTTCTCTCCTATGCTACGAGGGTTTCCTCCGGGTTCTCCGGTTTCCTCCCTCCGTAAAAATCAAACTGTGAGTTGCGCGTTGTGTGCATAGAATATTGCATGTGTAGTGGTAGTGGAGTGAAAAGTCATAAAGAGATTTTTATTCAAAACAAGCCAGGATATATTAAACCACTCTCGATTAGCATCCATCCATCTATCCATCCATCCAACCACCCATTTATTGGTAATCATTATTATCTTTCGCTACAACCACAGACGGTCAGGAGGCTCTAGCTTATCACGTGATGTACTTGGAAGCACAAGTCCAGAAATACACCATTGAATTATTGTATCTGGTCCAATGAATGTAGGTCGTTCAACTACAGCACAAAGAAAAAGATCTGTGAGCTGAACAACACCAAACGACAAGAACACCCAGCTTCTTTGATCAAGAGCGACTCCTTCGCTTACTTCGAAAAGCTGTTTATGAAACCAGATGAGGCCAATTAAGTTTTCTTTCTGAGCCGGAGTGCACATGCATGGAGAGGTTGTTCACCTGTAATAACAATGATATATCTAACGCTTTGTCTATGAGAGGGGGAGTTGTCAATCCCATTTCCTAACCAAGTATTTTTACAAACCCTACTTCCCAGTCGCTAAACACCACCGCAAGTACAGCAGTAGATAGCGCAGCTTCACAGGGTCGAACTGAAAGCATGTGCCTCTGGCAGATACTATACTCGTGGAGTCCAGTTTGAATTAGTTAGGGGTAGATTTGAGAGAGCTAGGAGAGAGGAAAAACCAGAGGACGGTTAACCCTCGGAGTCAGAAAAAAACCCAACCAACTCAGTTCACATGGCGACTGATTTTCGAACCCCAGATCTCTTAAGTCATGTTGCTATTTTCAGTACATGCGTATGAAAAGACATTCGCTTTTTGGCGAACTGCTCTTATATGATTACACCTTTGAGTATAGTTTCCACAATTATAAGATATTTTGAGATCACACTTGAAGTATAAGTAAATAGACTATAATCACAAATAAACAATTATAATAAATTCCCAAACGTGATCACTGGAGTTCTCACTTACTGGATTTCAAGGTAGTGCGAATAATTTCTTTTTAAAAAAAAACACTCTTTCTAAGGGACCAGACATTAAGCCTTAGGAACACCACAGTAAATTAACGATCATTTTTCCTCGTATTCTGAAGACAACTAAAATCAATATTGAACAGCGTTTGAAATCGTTTTTATGAATCACACAATGAGTTTCGTAAAGTAGGACCAAGGATTGAGCCTTAGTAACGTCACAGTAGCTTACTATTTTTTCCTTGAATCGAGTCGAAGCAACAACAAAAACATAGTTATCAAATTTAAAAAGCGGCACGAACAGCAATGCAACGTGAGGACCTTGTTGTGTTAAGCTTGAAGGCCCGAATGACTAAGAACCGATTTTTTGTGACAAAAATGACAAAGCCAGATATAATCCAGGGAGATTATACTTTACTTTATTGGTAAATATTTCAAGGCACTTTTAAAGGTTTCCGAAGGAACTTTTCAACAGTATGATTTAATGAAGCCTGAGTAATCTGAGATGGACAATACCTTTTGGAACTGCAATACAGAAGGAGCTCAAATGGTCTAGTTTGACTGAAGAGCTAGGACACCGAAACGTCGTTCTTCAAAATAGACTTAAAAAAAAAACTTATTACTTCTCTTAAATTTTATTGCAAATGAATTCTAACACTTTTCAGTTTGAATTGAAGAGTTTTTAGTTCAGAGCAAATTTAAGTTAAAGTTTTTGGTCTCAAGTTTAACAAACGCAGTGTCTAAATGCCCGGCAGCCGGTCGCGGTCTAAAATTGACTAAATGCCCGGCAGTCCAAACTTTCACCAAAAAAAAAAAACGAGAACTGGCTACAGCTAATGGTATCAAACTAGTCTAACTTTATTATGTCATATCAAGCGCTTCCTGTAGTCTGGACTGATTCGAAAAAAGATTGTCTGTATTCGCTCGGCATAGAATACGGAGCACTTGGTTCATGTCACTTAGWWTWTTTTYGCCAACACTGCCGGTCGCCATTTTCGCCAAAAATACGATAAATTACCTACGTTAATGAAGCCAAACTAGTCTAGATTTATCGAGGAATATTAAGCGCTTCTTGCACACTACACTGCTTCTAATAAGGATTGTTTGTCTTTGCTCGGCATAGAATACCGAGCACTTGGTTCACGTCACTTATATTTTCGCCAACACTGCCGGTCGCGGTCTCAAATACACATGCCCGGCAGTCCAAACTTTCCGATAAAATGATTAATTATCAAAATTATACTATGTATCAATATTGGACTTTTTCGCTCTTCTTACCACAACTAGCTTTTTATCTACCCTTTCCTACTTGTCCCATCGTTTATTTTTTTGCTAAGTAATACAAAACAATCCTTATTAGAAGCTGTGTAGAGTACAAGAGGCGCTTAATATTCCTCGATAAATTTAGACTAGTTTGGCTTCATTAACGTAGGTAAATTATCGTATTTTTCGCGAAAGTTTGGACTGCCGGGCATTTAGTGTATTTGAGACCGCGATCGGCAGTGTTGGTGAAAATATTCTAAGTGACATGAACCAAGTGCTCCGTATTCTATGCCGAGCAAAGACAAACAATCCTTATTAGAAGCAGTGTAGTGTGCAAGAAGCGCTTAATATTCCTCGATAAATCTAGACTAGTTTGGCTTCATTAACGTAGGTAATTTATCGTATTTTTKGCGAAAATGGCGACCGGCAGTGTTGGCGAAAATATTCTAAGTGACATGAACCAAGTGCTCCGTATTCTATGCCGAGCGAATACAGACAATCTTTTTTCGAATCAGTCCAGACTACAGGAAGCGCTTGATATGACATAATAAAGTTAGACTAGTTTGATACCA